CGTCTCCGCCGCTTATAAAACAAAACAAAAAGGTTAACAGTAAAACTGTATGGGATTAGAAAATAGGAACCCATGAACTGGGAATGTACTTACCGGGAATCTTCTCTGCTTTCGCCGTCTCCGCCGCTCTCGCCGTCCTCGCCGTCTCCGTCGTCTCCGCCGCTTATAAAACAAAACAAAAAGGTTAACAGTAAAACTGTATGGGATTAGAAAATAGGAACCCATGAACTGGGAATGTACTTACCGGGAATCGCTTCCACTGACTCTGCCGGGGCCGCCATTTCCACCAGAGAGGGACACACGTCCCCAGTAAGGGAAACCTGAAAAAGAAAAGAGGATTAATAGAAAAGGGAAAAATAGTTTTGAATGTTGCCAGTGCACAATGAAACATCTATGATAAACCATTGAACTGTGCTAATCATAAAACCTAACCTAGCCAGAGCCATTTAACTTTTTTCCTTTCTCCTCATTAAATACCAGATAGAATGGTCAGGAGGGGAGGTGGGAGGGACATGATGATGAAGAGGGAGGTGGGCGGGCTCTTGGGATCACATGACTGGATCACATGTCAAACACATATATAGGATTGGGATTTTAGCTAGGCCTGTTAACGTCCTCTGAAGAAGCATCATTAGGTGCGAAACGTCAGGACTATTGAGGATTATAAAGCCAAATAAGTAATACAGTGGTATACTTTTAAGTTTTCGTTTATTTCTTTTATGTATTATAATTGGTTCTTAATAATAAAGTTTACAGTTTTAAAACTCAGTGTGGGGATAGCTGGAAAAGAACCTACCATCATAACAGCAGCGACTAATCCTCGCCGAGGAAGACTGGGTCAGTCTAAGGAGGGAAAGAAACACAAGGATTGTTAAAGGACTTCGTTCAGGGGATCCTTGAGTTTGTTCCCCAGGACACAGGGAGGACGACTAAGCCGGAAAACAAGGCCCACCACTAGGCCGCTCGGCCTAGCTACAACACGTCAGGAAACATCCCTGTGCTGGGAACTATTGGACCTCACGAGGACCCTCCATTGGACCCGGGACACCAGAAACTTAAAAACCAGGTGGGAGCTGTTTTGGATTCTGTTGGGCACCCCTAGCTGATTTAATACAAATTTGTAATGGTTAGTTTACATAATAGGTTCACTGTATTGGCAGACCTCGAACAGGCCCAGAATAGAGATCCCAATCCTAACCAAATGATGGCAGCAGCCCCATTTGATAAAAAGATGACAAAGGTTTATTTTAAATTAATACAAATGACTCATCATTTATTAACAGTAGAACAAACATTAGAGACAGATACCTTCCCATCAGGGATGTTAAAACAAGTCATTAAACTTACCCAATTTATAAAACCAGCCATGCCTTCTAATATCACGGCAGAAAATTTAAAAGCTAACACGTACTCTTGGATGAGTACGAATATGCATATCTTACTGGATCATTATACAAGGGGGAGGGAAGCACTATTAGGGGAATTGGACAGGTGGGGAGAAAAAGAATGGGAGGTAGCCGGGAAATGGGCCCAAAATAGGTACAAGCAGAAATTGAGGCCTAATACTACAAGTACAACTAAACAAATTATAAGCACTTACCTGTTAGAAAAAGCAGGACCTTCAAATAGTGACAGGGAGGTAGACCTTACAAAAAGGGTTCTTCCCCCAGATACAGATTCCCTACAACAGTTTAATGAGGGACAGGAAGGAAGGGTGCAGCTCCCTCAACCTATAAAACGTCCTAAACAAATTAAAGTACAGGCTCAAATACATCACACTACCCATAGCTTTGACTCTGATTTAATACAAAATCCAAATAATGGAAATCAAACCAATTACCTGCATGACATCTCCTTTATAGGTCCCTGTACCCCAGAGGCCAAAGCTTCTTCGGGAACGCCTAGAATGGCGGGGAATGAAATGATGATAGGGCAACAGAAGGGAAAGTATCCCACAGTTGAATCCCTAACTGAAAATTCCCAAACAGAACCAGAGACAGGGACCAAACCTAAAAAAACACAACCCCAAAATCACAAGTCTCCAATCTCCTCCAGTACATCGGAAGGGGATTTTGAGGACCTAGTGAGAATAGAGACGCGCAGGCCGGAGAGACACCCAAATACAGCGCACAAAGCCAAAGATTGGTCATTGAAGGTCCATAAACCAATTATCTTCATAGGAGACTCAAACCTCAGCAGGATCCCTCAGATAAATGACCCCCAGGTACAAGTAGATAGTTTTCCGGGAGCTAGTTTTTATCATGTCATTGACATCTTAAAAAAATTACCCCCTCAGTTACAAACACAAAAAGTAATCCTGTCAGTAGGAATTAACAACAGAGATCAACAGCCTAATAAAACCTCTATAAAACAGTTACAGACTATGTGGAGAATAGCTAAAACAGCGTTCCCTAATGCATCAATTTATACTCCCATCATTCAATTTTCCGATCTTTTACCTAAGGTACATCAAAACAATTTGACCATAATCAATAACTACATAAACTCACACGGGAATCCATTACTAGAACTGAATAAACTACGATTCAAAGTAGATCCGAGGGATCAAATCCATTGGACTAGGGAAACAGCAATTCAAATTTTCAATGACTGGTGTGACCAGTTAAACTTTTAAGGCAGGAGACGTGCAATCTGGAAGCACACCAATACAAAAATATTTTTAACCTATCCAAAACATTTAAACTTACCTTAGAAGAGGGCGAGCTTCTGCGAAAGGGACTTACCTTTGTTCCGACACCTGTAGAAATAGATGAGGAAGAAATGCAGAGGGACGTCCATCACTATAACAGAAAATTAAAAATATTGGATTATTTTAAATATACACAAAAAGAACAATTAACATTATTTACAGCCAATTCTACATGGGAACCAAAAATTAATCAAATTTCAACAGATATACAAGATTTAATTCAATTTAACAATAAAATGGTTAGGAAAAGATTAAAGCAATCAAAACCAAAATTAAATATCCCGGAAGAACAGAGGAGGGCCATTAAAACACTAAATAAAAATAATGACATTATTATCAAACCGGCAGATAAGGGTTCAGGGATAGTGATCTTGGACAAACAACAATACAAATTTGAAGCACTTAGACAATTACAAGACACAAATTACTATATTTCCTTACCTCATACATTACAGGAAGAAACATCTAAATTGGTTAATGGTATTCTTAATAATTTACATTTAGAACAATTTATTACCGCAAAACAAAAGTTTTTTTTAATGGGCCCGGATATCCCCCGACCCAGATTATTTTACTTGTTACCAAAAATCCATATGGACAAGGCCCTGTGGACGATTCCGGGTGAGGTCCCCAAGGGGAGACCTATAGTATCTGACTGCGGTAGTAACACATATCATACGGCTCAATATATAGACCACTTCCTGAACCCTATCTCACAACGACACAGCAGCTATTTAAAAGACACATATGACTTTATCAATAAAATACAAGGCCTTCAAGTTCAGACAGAAGCAATTTTATTTACCGTAGATATAAACAGTTTATATACTAATATATCCACAGACTTAGGATTAGAAGCAGTGAGGACAGCCTTCTTAAAATATCCGGATCCAGGGAGGCCAGATAAATACATTTTACAATTACTGGAAATCAACCTTACAAGGAATGATTTTGAATTTGATAACCAGGTTTATCTCCAGATACAAGGTACGGCCATGGGGAAAAAGTTCGCCCCGGCATATGCCAATATTTATATGGCCTCCTGGGAGGAGACACTTTTTAAAAAATGTAAACATCTCCCCAGGCTATACTATAGATATTTGGATGATATATTTGGTTTGTGGCAACATGGAGAAGTGCTATTTAAAGGGTTCATAAGTATAATGAACGAGCATCACCCAAGTATCACAGTAAAATACCAAACAAGTTCCCAATGTATAGACTTTTTAGACACAACTGTCTTTTTCAGTGAACTAATAAATGGTAACAGGACTCTTAAAACCAAAGTGTATTTTAAAGACACAGATACACATAGTTTACTGTATAAAACAAGTTACCATCCCAAACACACTTTTGCAGGGTTAATTAAATCTCAACTGATCAGGTTTCATCGATTATGTACAGACAAACAGGATTTTGAGGCAGCTACTACAACTTTATTCACGGCCCTAAGGGGTAGGAAATATTCCAAAAGATTTTTAAGGGGTATCAAGGCGGAAACATTAAGGACAATAACAGACAAAAAATCATCACCGTTGACAAATGCACAGATTATCCCATTGATTACTAGATACTCCTCTAAGGCGATCACAATAAACAATAATCTCAAGAGGGGCTTTTCAAGGGTCCAACAGCTGGTTCCACAATTAAAAGGTTATAAAGTTATTTCAGCATACAGAAAAAATAAAAACCTTAAAGACCTATTGGTTAGAGCTAAATTTGGTCTATCCATAATGAAGGATACCTATACAAATCTTAAAAGGTATTTTAAACCAATCAAGGTGGTAACAACAGGATCAAATACAATACCTGTGCAGGATAACATCGGTTTGGGAACTAATAATATCGTCTACTTGATCCAGTGTAAACACTGTAATAGAAGATATGTTGGGGAAACACAATACAGTTTAGGAACACGTTTAAAGCAACATCTACACACCTTCTCCCAGAATACCAAAACCACAAAGCTGGTGCAACATTTTCAACAGCAGGGACTGCAAAATGTCCAGGTGTCGGGCCTAGAGGCCAACATTCACTGGTCACAGGAACAAAGAAGGAGGAAAGAACTAATGTGGATACATAGATTAAACACATTGGTTCCCCTGGGTTTTAATCAGAGATAAGGAAGGCAGGTGGGGATTAAAGGGAGGCAAAAACAGATAATTGATCACCCATGGATCGGTTTGGGGCATCCAAATAGTACTTACCCGTTGATTAATTAGACTAATAAAGGAATGAATATTAACAAATAACCTCTGTTCCTTTTTCGTCTAGATGTGCAACTAACTCTTGTATATAAACTAACTTACAGGAACTAATTTTAACATATATTTTGGGTAAAGCCCTATAGCGACATGGGGGATGGATATTTAACAGAGTATAGGTTTATGAATAGGGGAGGAATACCTTTGATATGGGATATATCTTACTTAGAAAGTGGACTGAGAATTACTGATCTGTTTTGATGATTTTGAATGAGTTGCAGGTCCAGGGAACAACAAATAAAATGTTTTTTTAAAACTATTTTGGTGGTTATTGACATAAAGGATGTCTATAAATTGCTGAATGATTAGCCTTGGGCGATCCTTCGGACTTTCTTTGTCTTTTTCTTTAATACTACCTTGATCACCCCTCCCCCTAACCCTAAGGGACCCCCTTTTAAGGGATCGCCTAATCCCAAGACCCCCTCTTATTATTCCCTCTTCCCTAACCCTAATGAACTTCATAACCCTAAGGGACTTCTTAACCCTAAGGGACCCCTTAATCCCTAACCCTAAGGGACTTCTTAACCCTAAGGGACCCTCTAATCCTAAGGGACCCCCTAAACCCTAACCCTAAGGGATTCCTTACCCCTAAGGGACCCCCTAACCCTGAGGGACCCCCCAAATCCTAACCCTAAGGGACCCCCTTTTAAGGGATCGCCTAATCCCAAGACCCCCTCTTATTATTCCCTCTTCCCTAACCCTAATGAACTTCATAACCCTAAGGGACTTCTTAACCCTAAGGGACCCCTTAATCCCTAACCCTAAGGGACTTCTTAACCCTAAGGGACCCTCTAATCCTAAGGGACCCCCTAAACCCTAACCCTAAGGGATTCCTTACCCCTAAGGGACCCCCTAACCCTGAGGGACCCCCCAAATCCTAACCCTAAGGGACCCCCAAACCTTAACCCTAAGGGACCCCCCAAATCCGAACCCTAAGGGACCCCCTAACCCTAAGGGACAAATCCTAACCCTAAGGGACCCCCAAACCTTAACCCTAAGGG